CCTTGTTTGGATTATGTTTTTACTATTAACTATTTGGTAGTTAACAAAGAGGCAGGAAAACACAGCACCTCTAACAGAAAATTCATAACTAGCAGAGTTCATAGAAAAACAATATCATATAATCTCAGAAGCCTTTGAGGGATTTAGCAGATCAGAAATGTAGTTGTAAGTTTTGTAGCTTAAAATTTATTTGCTATAACAAGCCAAAAAAAGAAAAGTATGGAACACAGCATTCTTATTTCATACTGATACTCTAAATTCGTCTTTTATTACATGCAACAACAAAGCAGGACAACACAAAGGGCCACTAAATTGCACATATGCAAACAACATCTGAAGCCTAATTTTTCCCTGCAGTTCGAATAAGCCATCAAATCACTCTCTTGGTCTGAACAGACAGGCAAACACGTTCACTAGCACTGGTTTACTCATAAAATAGTACCTTACAGCTAATTGATGTGATAGCTATCAATCAGTACATATGATTGCTGCCACAGGTATGCTAACAGGCCACTGATATAATGGGTATCTTGTCAAGCACAATATAATAGAATTTATATCGAAAGGGTTCTGCAAAAACTAAAGACCTGTACAAATTATCTTATTCTTCCAAAACTCTTGAGACATTGAGACTCTTTCAGTCATTTAATCTATATTTGCAAACTTTCCCATTTAATCTCATAAAAAAAAATAGGTAATTCTGTAAGTACCACAGGGTAACTATACAGGGAATATTTTTGTGCTTTGATATTTAAAAAACAAATGAACAAACAAAATCTAAAAAACCCCCACCCACCAAACTCCCCCCAAAAAATCAAAAAGCACCACCACCACCTAACATAATGCTCCATGCTCTGTTATTTGTGTTTTTCACAGGCAAAACCTTCCCCGGAGGGATCCAAGTTACTGTAAGACCTAGTTTTCCACCACCCATTATTTGAAATTGTCAGAAGACCAAAGGCTGAAATCTTCCTCTGGACTCTTCCCCTCAGCTGACTGAGAGGTTTATCAGTGGTATCACTGGAATGAAGATTTCATCATAAATCCTGTGTGACTTTAGGGTGTGTAGATTAATAAAGGTACATCATACTACCTGCAAAAAGCCTTTACAAGGAACAGCTGAATTCTCTTAGAGACTCTGGACAGATGGCAGGATTGTACTATCACTAAATCAGCTTAGTCAAATACATTATTAGTTCTCCAGTCCAATATTTGCTGCGTATTCCTAATTAAATTGCTGAATGAAAATGGCAATGTGCCAAGCTTATAGCAAGTAAACACTAGAAATCCATTTTTTTCCAAGATCGATCTCCTCCTCATGTGCTAGAAAACAAAGCTTCTCTTGAAAAAGCAGCTCATTACAAAACACTATAGATCAAAACATAAATTCTACTTTTTTGTGTGTTCACTATTCAATCAAATGTCTGTTAAGCTGCTTCTTTGTGACTATGAAGTATTTCAGGAAACCAGGATGTCAGACTGACTGCCACAGAATCCCCACATCAATGTACAAGCATAATGGTCTTTCAGGTATCTAAAATAACAGGTCCCTTCTCGGCTGGACGCGCAGCTTCTCTGAGAGATAATTCCATCATCAAGGGATAAGTGCTTCACTCATCAGAACTGCCACATAATGGTCAAGCACAAATTAATGCTTGCAAGAAAAGATGCATGATTCTACTTCAGTTTCTAGAAGGCAATTCCAAGTGCTTGCTAATTTTCCCCTTAAAAGCACAAGGAATCAAAAGCATTCATAAAATCACCAAATTTGTAATCAAGCATTCACAGAGAAATTTATTTCTTCAGTACATAATCAAAACTTATTTTGATGGAAGTCACACTCAGTCATATTTTTCCAGGAGAAATGATTCTCAAACATTTTTGCCTGTCCTCTGTTCAATGCTATTTCTTCTCCCTTGTCACCCTAAGGTTAATGCTCAGGAAGGAGAACAAAGTGATTATTACTGTGCATGACAAGGATTGTTTGCTGCAGCAATTACTCCTCAATCACAATGTTACTTCTGCTTACACTCAACATGGATAAAAATATGAACCCTAGATATTAGCATATGCTAAATACACATTTTACACTGCTTGAATTATGAGCAGGTAACACACTTTAATATAGGTGTGGCATTATGACACCTCTTTTGAAATTCTAACATTCTGTGCTATTAAATACATGTTCTTATTTTCATCTGCATGAGAGAAGTGGTTGATTTTATTCACATCAATACACTGAACTAACAGGTATATTCTCATTTGTATCAAAGCAAACACTGTATGCTTGTAATCTATATATTTATTTCCCTGAATGATTATCTGAAATACAGTCAATGTTTCAAGTTCCCAATGAAAAGGTTAAAAAATTATCTCCACAGACAAGTACCATAATTTTTACTGTATGCTGAAATTTTTAATCTGATAGCTCATGAATAGAATTTGCATACAGAGCAGACAAAATCTCCCTAAAATACTTCTACAGTTGATTCCCTTAGTGGTTTGACATGAACTGAATGGTGTTGAACAATTTATGCACCATTGTTTGGGACAGGCTCTTTAACTCCTTCCTGACTCCTTAACAAATGTGAGAGGCTGCGTGTATCTTTATATTAGTGTACATTCTGGTTCACTGCATTAATCACACACAACAGACCTGTGCTCAGTTAGGTGGGTCTTTTCAAATACAGGCAATTAAACCCTCCTACATATGAATCACTTTGCATTCACAGAATACTTCCTATATGAGCACTAAATATTTACAAATGAGGCTGGCATATTTTATATAATCTTCACCACCTCGGCTGAGATGACTAAGGAGAGCTATCATTATGTACATAACAGAGTTACAGGCAGGTGCAGATTACATAGGGTCACCTTATTCCTTATTCCCATCTTCCCATTATGGCTATGGCAGCTGGACTCTGAACTTGACACACCACTCACATTGCCAGCTTGAAAGAAAAGGCATGTCAATTCAGGATAGTTTACAGGATGTTTTGCAAAAAAGTTATGACTGTTATTAGTTAAGATTTTATGAAGTTTCCCACATATTCTAGTATGTTCAATCAGGCCATACTCTCTTACACAGGAATCACAAAAGTGAGATGAACTGTCTCTGCTGAACTCCTTGTTCTGAAAAACACAAACATCATCAACTTCAAGTCTAATGCTGCAACCCCAAAGGAATTTTGGAAAGGAAAAAGCCACTGACTCCTTCACAGACTCCTTCAAAATGACAGAGATAAAGAGAAGAGTCAATATGCTAATGGTCACAGTCTCTTATTAGAGACATTTTAAAAGGAAGCCTCTGTCTCATGGGAAATTCTAATCTGATTTTCTTTTCAACTATCAACAAAAAATATTTTTGAAATATCAAAATTAAAGAACTCTTTTCCCATGGAAGATGAAGTATAACATATCCAACTGACTCTTACTAGACATTTTCATTTGAAGCAAAAGCACTTTTACTTTCCCAAAATGAAGTATTTTATGTTTTGCTAAAAATATTTTAACAGGGATTTATTATCTGCATTTTTAGTGTTAGGGCCTTTCATTACCTTCCATTTAAAAGACACAAAGCAAAATTGTAATGATATTTAGTATGCAAAGCAGATGACACAACAGATTATAATTTCTAAATAAAGCACTAGATTTGTGAACTGAGATTTTACAAATGCTGAAACAAAACCAGGATGCATTTCCTTAAACTGAACCACAGAAAGAAATAAAACGCACCTACTTCCAATTTCTGTACTTGCATGTGTTAAGAATTACTCCTTACACCATATCCTGCAGAAAGTATGTTTTTTGATTTATTATTATTAATACTTCCAAAAACCTGGATGGTGTTAGCACTTTACCATTTGTAGTTGCATTAGCTGGCCTTTCATTTTGTCTTTAAAGCAGCCATTATCATGCACAGTTTATCTCTGTATAAACCACTCGGTAACAGCAGTTTGTCACCTCTGTATATATTATTGATGAGAAGGCAGACAACCCACCAATTAAGATGCTTCCCTTGTCCCATCTCCAGGCTCAGCCTGAGGTACCGATGGAACAGTTGAAGTAAAAACTCAGTTCTACATTTCAAAGAAAGTTCAAAGGCAGTGAGAAAAGGCTACCCTGCAAACGACACAGAAATTGTATTTATTGCTGGAAAAGTTTATTTAAGGAGTAGACTGCATTATTTATTCTGTATGATAATAAAAATTATACTGTGACTCCACATCTTGTTAAACTAGACGTTCAACTTAGTTTTTCTTTCAGTCTTGTATTAAATCTACAACTCTGACAAATGATAGTTTGAACATTCTCTTCCAACACAAGTCACAGCTTAGTATCAAAGATACAGTTAAATAATAGTCAAGATATAAATGAAGCAGATTTAAATGGATTTATGTTTCTACTGCTACCCCAGCAAGACATACAACAATGTATCTTGTGCTCCAAAACATTGCCAAGTAATCAATTAAAGAAAATATTAAAAGTATCTGAAATCAGGAAGTCTTCAGATGGACAAACAACCCTGAGATAACTTGTATTCGCTGCTTCCATCCAAATTCTCAGGTTGTCAGTAATCACCAAGCCATTCCATAAACACTAAGTATTTATTCCATGGCGTAATAGTCCTTTCTAAAGTAAGTAAAACAGGAGAATTTATCCTATAGAAGTTACCTAAATGAAATATTCTGCTAAAAAAATATATATTTTTTAAAGAAATTAATATCAAATGAAATTACATTGGTTGCATAGCATATCTCTCATCTTGTTTTTGAAAAACCACACAACCTTTCTTTCCTCTGTTCCTGAACATAAGACTAAATATCCCATGTTAAGACACATTTATGCAGCTGTCAACAAAAGTCATCAATGCAATACACAGTACAACTTTGCAATGGGGACAACACAGGATAAGTGCACCACATCTACTCTGTAAGTTAATGGAAAAGAGTTGAGCTAGATCAGCTCTAGTAGACAACACAAAATATTTCTCTTACCTCCATTTCTGTGCAGTGTAAATGGCCTGATTTACCTGTAACAGAAAAAAAGGTTTTCAGATTAAGTAAAAGATTATGGAAAAAAATAAAACTAAAAACCAGAGTCTTTTTTTTTTGAGTAATTGCCACATATTCTTTGTTTTACTTGAATCATGCATTTCAATAATGTTATTATTATGAATGCATCACAGAATTAACAAGAAGGCCCTACCCTTTTTATTTGGATCCTTCACAATACTCCCTTTTAAAAATATGTGTGTTTAATGTCTTGGTTCATTATTTAAATTGTATGACTGATGCTTGGTCGTGGAAGGAACATGAAAACACACTGGCTTAAATTAAGCAGTAGCAAATAATTATTTCAAGAGAAAAAACAACATTAATTCATAAACCAGGGAAAAGCCACTGTTTCATCTAATACTTCTGGGATATCAAAGAGTTCAACAACAACATAAAGTTCAAGCAAATTAAAGTTGAAGCATTACTGTACTATTTTTATAAGTCCCTCTTGACAAGTTTTGCATTTCCTCAGCATTCAGGAGCATCACTTTGGAATTTGTATAATATAGAGAAATTAAGTTTCTGAACTGTTTCATCAAATTGAAATCTCAATTTTCCCAAATACAAAACAGTTTCATACAAAAGTGGCTTGACGGCTTACAAAAAGAAGACTGAAATTTCACAGCATACTAGGAAACTATCATGTCACTAAAAGCAGCAAGTTTAAAATTTTGTATTAATAATACTTATCAAAGTACGGTGAAGTAATTCTGACAGGATGATTTTCTGCTGGAAAAATTACATTCAAGAAAGTTAAGTATTCCACAGAGATCTATCCATTTGAAAGGGGACCTACACAAAACCTTAATTTCAAAACATACAGACAGTTGAATTGTACTCTTTTTGTCTTAGCTTTTCGGCTGCATTGCACTAACACTGCTAGTTTAAAGTCTGTGACTTTGGGCCCGATGGCACAGACCCCAGGAAATGTGTGGCACAGTCCTGAGTCCTCACATGCTCAAAAACCAGAACAGGACGCATTCGCTTGACTGCGTGAGCTCTGAGAGTGCATGTTCCACAGGATGGTTGCCAAGGATTTACTGCAACAGTTAAGAAAAGTCTGCAGTTTGTAGCCATAACTGGAAAGACTGTTTTATCAGACTGGCTGATGAGCCCAAGGAAGCTCAACCAACTGGTTAGCACAATGTTTGCACAGAGGAGTGATCATACTGACTCCACGTTACACAAGAACAACATGCAAAACACTCGGCACTGAGGGAGAGTCACCTGCATAGACAAAAAGCTTAATTTTTCATACTGAACTGGTCACCTTCCCTTCAAAACTAAAGGTTAAACACATCTTGAATGAATAGGGAACATCCACCTAACACAGTGAAAGTTGTTTACCTTCCTTTTGAACTGTTGCCAATGTAAGCTGAATGCTTAGCTCTGGTGTCTGACTTCAAAACAAAAAGCAGGAGTGACTTAAAAAGGCGGCTTTTGCATCACACATTATCTTTTCAAAAGGACTGGTGCCTCTGGTTGATTCACTTTGAGATTCACATAAAATGGTTTTTTCTGTTTAAAATGGTAACATTAGTGTGATTGTTATAAACTATAAATGGGAGAAAATTACTGAGAATGTTTTTTAACTACCCCTAGGATTGTTAGCAGATTTACTAATATTAGGGACTATTTTTGTGAAACTCCAATTACAGATGACCAAAACAATGTGTCTCCATGATAGAAGATGATATAAGACTAATTCACAGAAATGTAATCAAGATAGGAAAAAAAATAGCACATGCTGCCTTTTTCGGATAAAGGTGTTCCTTACTTCATATATGCTACTTTCAGAATTTGCTACTGCTGTCAGAGTAAATCGTGACTTACTTTTTGTTTTATTATAAAAATATAGGGAACACTAAACTGAATTATTTATTCCTATTTATATCAACATTTTCAAAAACAATCGTATTGTCATGATTGCATGTGCTGTGGCAGGAAGGTGAAATAACAAGTAGTTTAAGCCTCACACCAGTTCAAATGCACCACAGACAGTATTCTAGACAGGTGCAAACTACTAAGTGACTTACAACATTATAATATATGCTGTGTTATGGTAATTATTAACTATACCATTCCATATGCCTCTGTACACCCTGAGTCCAGCTATACACTTAGCAGATTTCCCCAAGGTGTTTGCAGTGACTTGTGGACACCCTCCATCAAGCATTTACTACATTTCAGAAGAGATCATTAACAATACTGTTAATGCACTTACATACATCTATCAAGATTGAAATGAATTAGTTTTTATATGGCTCCTACAAACCAATTTACTTAAACTGCCTTTATTTATACTGGCTGGGGTAGAAATTTCTTCCCTCTTCAGCTGACATGACTGAAAAAGCAGGAACTCATAAATGTAGCCTAAGGGTCACACTTTCTTCATTTGCACTGCAAGAAGAAAAATCCCTATAAGAAGTCATAGAATAGTCTCTGTCTGCAAGCACTATTAAGTGCTTCTCTGATAAACAGGTGAAGTCTTGAAAAATTATTTCAGGTGCTGCTTCTTAAGATAAGTGCAGACTTCTCCAGACTTCAGAACCATTCAACTAGATATTCATCTGTGTAGCTTCTCCACCACTCTTACTGCCAAAAAAACATTCAACAATAATCTTCCGTGACAGCTTTCAAATAGCAGCTAATACATTCATTACTAGTAAACAGCATAATTCTGTCAACTTCAGTTTATAAACAAACTACAGTTTGGAAGATTATATGGTTTTTCACTCTCAGCTTGTTGAAATGTAAAAAGTGAAGTTTTTGCAAGAAGAAAAGTGACTTAAATTGGAGGTTTCCTGTATGTCTGAAACCAGTCTTCAGAGAGACCCATTTGCCAGGGAAAAAAAAAAAAAGAAAAAGAAAAGAAATCCCAAACCTTCACAAGTACTTTTTGTTCCTAAAAATTTCTATTTGAAAATTATTCTTATATCAAACTCTCAACAAAAGGAGTCATGACAAACTTTCCTCAAGCACTAGGGAACACCGTCTTACCCCTTAGGGCAGGAGCTTCCTGTACTGCTGCCACTGGTAAGAAACACACATTTAAGAGTTTTGAAAGAAAAATAGATAATTCAGTATGTCAGAATGGATTGACACAGTATATTTGTAGGAAAGCATGTGGGATGTGCAAAACCATTTGCAATCCCATCTGAAGAAAAATTACGGTACAGAGCTGACGTTAGTGATGTGACACCACATTCATATGGCCGCTGTTTCAGCTATAACCAGCTGCTCTAAGAGCCCTGAAGCTCAGAGCATCTCCCTAGCCTTCCTCTAGTGTCTCAGATTCCTCTGCTCAGATCCACAGGCATTTCCTTCAAGAGACCTTCTGGCACAGTTGAAATTATAAGCACAGCAACACGCAACAGTGTGGTTGATGTATGCACTGGCAACAAACCTGAAACTCATTTTCTGTTAAAGATTATAATTAAATGTCACAGCCCACTTCTGCTGTTGCCACAACAGCAGAACCCAAGTGGCAGCAATGACACACACTGCCTGTATGTACTAGAGGACAGTGGTAAAGGTGGCCAAAGAAGGAACACAGGAGCTAACCTATAGAAAGGGAGCAAGGAAGAACATAAGAGTCACTAACTCAATCTCCTTAAATTGGACAGTCTTCAGTCACTCTCCTAAGCTAACAATAAGTTGAATTTGTATTTGCATTCTAGCTTTTGCATCTTCAAGAGGCACTGTAGCTACAATAATAAGCTTTTCTCTGCCCTTAAGAGAATAAGGAACTCCTCTAGTGAAAAAAAGTAGTTCAGATTCACATTTCATCATCTGACTGCAGAAACTGGAGTTTTGCAACTTTGGAGTTACCAAAAACTGGAGAGCTGCTAACTAATCTGAAACTGGTCAGATTAGTTACTAAACCTGACAAGTTCATCAATACAAGAGTCAAGATGAGGACGAATAAAAGGAAAAGGCATGAAAGAAGAAAGCAAAGGTAACCATGCAACACAAGAAAAAGAGATGAATATGCAAAAAATAGGATTCATAATTAAATGAAGTGAGAGGAAAATACTGATGTAGGAGGAGTGAGCCAGAATTCTGGCTCAGGACGATATTACGAGATAAACTGAGGAGGACAGTGAAAACTTGCATGATAAACAGAAATAGAAAAAAAAAGTGACAAAGACAAATATAGGGAAAGTGTAGCTTATGAGTAAGACATCAAGATGCAGGGAAGAAGGTCAAGAAGAGTGAGAACATGAGCAAATGGAAGAAAGCAGACTGGATTACGAGAGGTAATCAGAGACCCCTCAGAGCAGCAAGCACAGAATCCCATATTTTTAAGAAAAACACACTTTGAGGAACAACATAACCTTCCTTTAAACTGTAATTAGAAGGCAACCAGAAATGGGATGAGTTTTCAGAGCTTGTGGCTTTTTGGTTGTGACTCATGATTTCTGTATCAGCCTACAGCTGATGACTTAGTAATTATATGGTTCATTTTTCTGCTTGGGAGAGAAAAGAAAAAGAAACTGTAAAAATTGTAAGGGAATACAAAGAAAATTCTTAGAGAAGTTTCTAGACCAAAGGCAGTCAGGATTTTCCTTCCCTGTGTCAATCTTTTTCCATACCTTCATTTTTCTCCATTCAACACTTCACTTAAGTTACTCCTCATTTTGTACAGTCATAGGCAATCCTCTTATAAATTGCTAAGAGGTCTTATGTGTTAATACCCTGTTAAATTTTGTAATAAAAATATTTTTTAAATTGCAAGTTAACAAATCCATGCTACCTTAGTGGTACCTTCTAAGATATAATTAAATAGTGGCTCTTTGTCTTGTCTCATTTCTACTCTGCACAAGCCTGTGCTCACTATATAATTTTTCTGTGTTCCACTGCTCATCTTCTTTAGCAAATCTCTAAGCTTCCCTATGGATCACATCAATTTTTGTTACTCTAAGAAAATACTGTGGTAGATCCACATCTCTGAGTGCTGCTGAGCTCCATTTGT